CATTTTAAATGACTTTCTTAGGGCACTGTTGATGATACCCTAAAGTCAAATACCGTTTCTCAAAGCCTTAAACTCTTAAAAATCTAATAAAGACAGATTGGCTCAGATAAGAAAAATCAATAGTTCGGTACCATTGGTGAAAAATCAATTAAAATATTAAAGTCCCTTTTAAAAGTACTCAAAGGCAGATGGACAATTCTCAAGAGTTAATACAAATGGCTAAAAATAAATCTGAAGAAGGTTTTCATCCTCACTAAAAATAAACAAAATGGAAATAAACCGAGATACCATTTTTTTTCATGGTTTAAATTACCAATGATTGAAAATAACCACACACAAAGCTCAAGAGGAAGCTTCAAAATGAGAACGTTCACACAGATAATGTGGGGACTGAAAGCAAACAACGCTCTAGGAAAATGGTTTTGCCATGAGTCATTGGCCATAGCGCTTCTACAATCCCAGGTGGCAGGAAAAGGCTTTCTCTCTTACGAACAAGCCCATCACTTCCCAGTGGATAATGTTTGTGCATGTTTTTGAGAATTTTTGTAAGAGTTTATTTGAGCCAAACTGACCTAATATTCCGGGGAGCAAGACCTCAAGTGCTCTGGATAATGTAATTTCATTTGGGTTTGGACAAGGCAAAGTTCAAAGACAAATTTGTGGCTCAACTTTGAATCAGCAAGTTACATTTAACTGTACACTAAGCCTTAATTTCTTATTCTATCTGTATTCCTCCTGATTTTTATTTTATGTACTGTTCCCATTTTCTTTTGGTACATCTCATCTTGAATACCATGAAATATCTACGAAAAGAGGCAGACTATAAACAAGTAAAATATAGGACAGAGAAAATGAGCCTCCTGAGGACCAATCATGTTATCAATATTTGTATTGCTCTTTTAAAAAGTGGAGAATAAAGTTATTTAGCCGAAAGTAAATTTGGCCTTATATTACAAAGCTAAATCCCATGCAGGTTCAATGAAAGTGCCTCTAATGTTTCTGGGATACAGCAATGCTATTTTAAAGCCTCTGTTTTAATTTTTGGTGGGACTAAAGGAAGTCAAGAGATCGCAACCACTCAGTTGAACTGAGGCTCTTCTGAAGCACTATCAACCATATTTTCTTAAGAGCATCTAATTAGATAACCCATCCCCCCACTTTTCTGTCCCAAAGTCTAAGATTCTATTGAATCCAACCAATGACAGGTTAACAACCTTGATAAATGACAGGTGACAGAAACAATGACTTGATTTGATGTCTTCCAGCATATTTAACAAAAGCTCACCTAAATTTTCTGAGAGAAATACCTTTGACCTGCCAAGAAAGGTATATAAAAGGCAATTATGTATAATACAGAGCTAATAAATGCCATACAGCCAACATGAACCACAGCCACAGCAGATAAGCAATAGAAGAGAACATTATGCACAACATTTTAATGTTTAAACTTTAGCTGGTACATCTGTTTGTGTGTGTGGGTTTTTTTTTGTTGTTGTTGTTTTTTAATGGACAGTGAATGCTCTTCATGTCATTTAGATGTTTTTCTAAGAAACAACCATGGTAGCCCTCTCTCTTTCTAGCACAAAAAGCCACTTGGTTACTTAATCCAATGTACTCCTGGGCAATGTAACCTTTAACCTTTCTACATGTCAGTTTTCTGATCTGTAAAATGGGCTGGCAATAACCCTCATCAGGATTGCTGGCAGGATAAATGAGGTAAAATATAAAAAGCACTATTACAGTGAAAGGCATATATACTAAGGGCTCAGCATTTCACATGGCTTATTATTATTTGAAGTATTACTGTCCTAATCTATAAAATGATGAAAATGATACTAACCCACTGTTATGAAGATTAAATATATTAACAAAACAAAACAAAAAAAGAAAATGAGCATAGATGCCAATAAAAGCTGTACTACATAGGGGAGAAATAATCGGGATTGTGATGAGAAAGCAGTTAGCAAATCATAAATTCTGCTAAACTATTTCAGACCGAATGTCACCACGAGTAGAACAAATGACTTTTAAAAGCAATAAAACATGTTGGGACTTCATCCAATGACAACTGTAAAATTAATATAAAATTTGACAAGAGGTTTGGCGCTCCTGAATGCAGCTGCCTTCCAAAGACTGTTGGGTGAGATTAGATGTTTCAAGTTACAAGACTTCAAACTCTGCCCCTTATGTAATTAACATTTCTTAATCCTCAGCCCTGGAGGAGGCAGCCACTCATTCAGGGATAACCCTTCCAGGAGAGAGGCTGCCTGTCTGTAGGAAGCCAACAAGAGCCTCAACCCGCTCCACCTCTCCTTCCCTTCCAGCCCCAACACCCCAGGAATTTCCCTTCCCTTTGTCCACCTTCAGCACACGGGCCAAGCCAAGCATTTCTCTTCATTATCTCTGCAGGGCAGAGGACCCTCCCTTCCTACCTGCTAGTTTCCCTCCCTCCCCTTCCATCTCTCCACATCTATTTTATCTCTGCCTTCTCCCCAGCCCCCCAGCACCCCCATGGCCCCCATTCTCTCCCCCAGGAACTGCCAGAATTACACACGCTGCCTCCCAGATGCAAATGAGCACACAGAACGTGTAATTCAATGGGTGCCTGGTGGACCTGGCCATGCACGCATTTTTAAAAGCAAGTCACAAGTCGCCAAAGCTCAGGACGAACCGCATACTCAAAGGTTAGGTGCTCTCCTTTTGCAGGCAAAGATTTTATTTGCTCACTCTCAATAAAAGGCTGGTAATTCTACCCCAAACAGGAAATCCTCTGCACACTTTGAAACGAGGGCTCCAAAGCGGAAAATAACAACCGATAATGACAATCGGAGAGGCCTGTGACCACTGCCTCCCGTCCCCTCGGGAAAGGTTCCCACCCTCATTGGAGGAGACAACTGGCCTTGAGCTGACCTTGCACATTGCAAGATATCCCCAGGTTATTACAAGTAATTAACATCATTTGCCCCACTCTACCTCCATAAAAGTTGGAGGGGGGGGGTACCTCAGAAAATAAATGACTGTAAGAAACTGAAGCACCTGGTCTTTCTAGCATTTCAGATCTTCAGAACAGAAGGAATGCTCCCCACCCCCAACTCCTCCGATGGCCGCCACTGCTCTGCAGGTACAGAAGCTGGACTCAGACAGGAAGGGGACAACTGCCCTGCCATTCACCTTGTGCAAGATGCCTATTCTAAGAGGATCATCCTTCTAGCCAGAAGCTGGATTTCACAGAAGGGCTGGCCAGGAGACTGGGAGAGGAAAGCTTGGCTTGCAGTTTTAGGCAGAAAAGGAGAAAACGGGGAACATCCGAGGCCAAATAATCCTAATGGCAAACCTAGCACCTTAGTGGTCCTTTAGGCTGGAGGCTTTAACCTAGCCCAGGCCTCATACGATTGGACTGCAAGTATTCTGTGTTCCGTTGGCATGTGATGCTTTTAAAGAAATGTAAGCCTAAAACTTAAAACGTGAAAAACAGATCTGGCAACTCCGGCCCATTTTCCCTTGTGGCAGTGACTGCAGGCACAGAGGACGGCTGCTCTCTGGGGCCGCAGGGGACTCACTGATTCCTCCCATCCTGGGCATCTCTCCCAATCCAGGACTTCACTGTTTTACTTCTTTCTCCTGCCTTTGAGGATATTTTAAGTTTATGGCTCCTGATCAAGATCACCCTAACTTGTTCTAGAAATGAAAAAAAAAAAAATGACTTAAGCTGAAATGGGTTTGGCTTAGTGAATAGAGCGCCAGCCTGTGCACTGAAAGGTCCCAGGTTCGATTCTGGTCAAGGGCATGTACCTTGGTTGCGGGCACATCCCCAGTGAGGGGTGCGCAGGAGGCAGCTGGTCGATGTTTCTCTCTCACCATGTTTCTAACTCTCTATTCCTCTCTGTAAAAAATCAGTAAAATGTATATTTAAAAAAATGACTTAAGATCACAGCGCTTCTCAGAGCAGAGTAGCTGCATGAGAACTCCAATTCCTTCACACCCACCCACCCACTCCTGAACCTTAGTTTTTGGAATCCTGAGTTAGGAAACCAGCCATGCTGGCATCCTTGTCCCTGAAGCTCCCTCTCCCCACTAAACAATGTTCGACCTTAGAATTCGTTGACCTTGTTGACCCCTTTGCCTTCATGGACTAGTCACTATGAGTTATCATGTTCTCAAGTATCAGGCCCTGAGCTCTGTGCATACTCTGGACGTTTTCATAATGCTTCTGGGAGATGTGCAGTAGCAACACCATTATGTTGATGAGACAGGTTGCAGACAAGGGCACCCAGACAAGTGCAGCGGTAGAGCTGCCCTTGAACCCAGGCCTTTCGGATCCCAAAGCCTGTACCTGGCAGCAGGCCTTGCTGCCTTGCAAATATCATCATCTTTCCCAATAACAGTAATAATAAAAATAGAACTTATTTGGTCTTAAAAAAAGTTAAACAATAGGATCCTGAGTAAAACATCAGAAAGGGGCTCCATCTCTCTAGCTGGAACTGTCGCTGAGTTTCTGTGTCTATGTCAGCTGCCCCCACTACACGAGAAGTCCCTCAGGAAGGTGCCCTGCCTTATATGCTTTTGTCTCTCCGCTATTTATAGAGTATTGCTTAATACCACTTGGAGTTAATAGTCAACAACTTCCATGTTCTATTTTTTTATCCAATTTTACTAAAATGGGCCTCTTAAGAGAATGCATTTTATGGCCCCTCTGGGTTCTCAAAAAGTCCTGTCTTCTCCACACATCACTTCTCTTCTTGTCTAGTTTTAGTTACCCACAGGAAAGTGGACAGTCCATTACACAAAACCTACAGGTATTTTTCTTTTTGCAAACAAAACAAGTTGTGTTCACAGCACTTTAATTTTTCCTATTGTTTTCCCAAAGTAAGCCAGGCAAACTTTCAGCTCTTAAAAAAAAAAGAAAAAAAAAAAAAGAACATATATGCAAAGTACTTTGATGCCAAGGCAGGTAATTGTTGCAGAAGTAGTAGCAATCTGTAAGTAATAGTAATACTTACAACCCATATGATGACCAGTCTTCTGGATAAAAAAGAATCAATATTCCAGTGAGTGAATGGAAGAAATGTGATGTAGAACACTTCTTGACCCAAAGCAGCTGAAAATCTGAATAGGTAGTAGTAGAAATAATTCTTCACAATGTATTTCTCTACATAAGCCTGAAAAACAAAAGTTAGAAGACCGTGAGTTCATTGAACATGCCACTAGAGGACAAACTTTGAAACCTCTTTCTAAAACTCTCGGGTTTTAGTTGCCATGGTGTTGCCTCCCCTCTCATGATGTCATTATGGCATTACCACCATCAATGGACATAGTTGTTGAACATCTATCAACCCAATTTGTCCACACAATCATAGAAAAAGTTAGCTCTTCATCAAATTAACTGAATAACACCCAAGACAGAAATATCAGGGAAGACAGGACTTTGAAAAAGAAATAGGGGCCATTGAAGGGGGTCAATTGGGGAAAAAGGAAGATAGCTGTAATACTTTCAACAATAAAGATCCAGTTAATTAAAAAGGAAATAGAAGAAGTTATAAACAGATGGAAGACCATACAGTGTTCACAGATTGGAAGAATTAGCAGCATTAAAATGTCCCTACTACTCAAAGCAATCTTTATATTAAATGCAATCCCTATTACAATAGTTTACCTTTTAAATGAGACAAAGAAGATTAACCCACTACAATGATGGTGCAAAAAAAAGCAGTAAATATACACAGAGTCTGTTAATATACAGTCTCATTTCCCTTCTTATCCTGAAGTAGGCAGGAAAAAAAAGACTTTAGGGGGTTAAAACCGGAATAAGCAATCTATTCAAAATATGGTGAACAACTTTAAATTATAGTTTATTTTTGATGAGCTAAAAAATAAAACCTGCTATTTATAGTAGTCATAGACTTTATAAAATCAAAGGAAAACACCAATGGGGAGGAAAAGAGGCAACCCAACCACAGGGGCAACTATGCCAACACCCTTGTAGGTCTGGATTTTCTGTTTGTAATACAGAAGTTCTGAGGTTTTTGAATCCTGGGGAAATTCAGAGAATAAGTTGTCTGTATTTGTTCTGCACATACTCATTCTGTACCTACGATGGCCTGGAGCCTGTGCTGGGTGTGAAGAAGATTCCGATGAGTCAAGCATGACCCCTGGGTTCAAGGAGCTCTTTTCTGGTGGGAGAGAGGGAGGGAGCCAAAGTGTATAATAATTTGGGGCAGTGACTTTTTGAAGGACCCATGTTGTGCTTGACGCCTTGAAAAGGGCCAAGAGAGAATATATGATATACTTAAGGAATAAAATAAACTAAAAAGACGACCTTGGAAATTGAAAGAATATAACTATATTTGACGCTCTTGGCTGCCTACCAAGTATGCATTTCTTTCTCTCAGAGGTTCCTGATTTTATTCCAGCATCTCTACCTCCCCCACAGAGCCCTATGACGCAGGGGAAGCTGACACTGCTCTCAGCTCAAGGTGTATCTGGATTTGTTTCAACCAGTCACAGAAAGTTCAAGAATTCAGCCTCAACCTGAGCAATGCATGGTACTACCTTGGAGAAAGTTACTGGTCAGGGATGAGCACATACTGCAAGCTACACGTTCATCTCTCTCAGGATGAACTTTAACTTCTAAGTGAATTCAAATGAGAGAGAATGGCAATAGGTCCACCCTAAACAGGAGAGATGAGAGAGTTCAAAGTGAATGAAATAAGGAAGTGTGTAGTTTCATTTATCTGCCAAGATAATATAATTACTGGATTGGCAAAGCAAGAACAAGGAACTGTGAACCAATAACTAAGTGAAAAACTCCTCTATCATCAAATCTGAGGACTAATCTCTGCCAGTTCCATTTTATAAATGTGCATCCAATGGGCCTGACCTTCAGGCAAACCCTGGAAAGAGCCCTCACAGCATACAAATTACTTTAACCTGCCAGCTTCCAGGTACACCTGGTTATCTGTCCTGCACTGAACCTTTTTGCCAAACTCTGACAAGGGTCAAACCCCTCTCTCGTGTCATTTCATGGTTTTTCAAGTGCTATTGACATTCTAAGTACTCAGTGACAACCATTTCCCTACCCTAGAGATTTACCTGAGGCCAAGTTCAATATCTTAATCCTAGTAAATAATTGAAAAGACCCTCAGCGATGACAGCAAACTGCTCTAGTGTTCCAAGTACTATCTTTAGATGGGCTTTTTACAACTCTCAGGTCTCTATTTTTTTTTTTTGGGGGGGAGGAGGGGGGAGAACAAAGTGTGATTGCTGTCTCCCAATGCCATCCTGCTTTTTTGGTCATAAGTTCCTCAAATGCACATTCTTCTAAAGTGGGGTTTCCAGTAACTTAACCTGTAGGTCAGAGAAGAGCTGCTCTATTTTGCCTTTACCAGGGTATTCTGTGTTCTCTGCAAGGCTGCCTTTGATGCATAAACAGATCAGGAGAGAGGGGGCACTACAGACTCGTTGCATGGGGAGAGAAAGAACACAGAGAATATATAACTTCTTCACTTGGCTCTGTTCTGAACACCTGAGCAGCATTTTATTTCCAAACACACACCAGAGTCCCAAATGCAAAGGACGGACGGCCAGGTCAGCGCCACTGACGTGCTCAGGGCTGACGCAGACAGCAGACTGAGCTTCCCGAGGAGGAAAACAAGAGATCGTTTTTAGCCCAAACAATGTGTGACCTTGAGAAGTCAATTCATCCTTCGGAACTGCAGCGGCCTCAGCTGCAAAGGAAAGAGTAGCACTAGTAGAGCATTCATCTTATATAAAAACTGCTGTTTGAAATTTTAACCCTGCTATTTGGCTTCTGTAAATGCTTGCTTGCTTAAATAATAAGGAAAATAAGACGACTACTGCTTCAGAGAGGCCATTAAACCTTCCTGGAACGAAGTTATCAGTGCTGGCACCAGGCCAGGCCTTTGGTGGAGGTCTCAAGGCCCCAGCACATAGAGGCTCTATAAGAACTTGCAAAGGGGGCTGGAAACACCCCATATTTGGGAGACAAGATAAAAACATAAATAGGGAAAGTTCCTCCATGTTGGGGCCCAGAATTGGAGAGACATTTTCCTCTGTGCCTGCATGTAATAATAATAAAAAATGTAACCTCAATCTCTCTAAGGTTGCTTAGTTCTTCTCCGGTTTTCTGTAACACTGGTTGCTTTTTAGTACACAGAATGTTTTAAAGCAGGGAAAAGCCCCTTAAGTAAAATGGTACTCAGGACCCATTAGATAAAATAGTAAGACTGGAAGCCTTATTTTACTCCTCATTTTTAACCAGTACTAACTGGTTAAAAGTGAGGAGGGCCCCAGGGAACCCCTACTTCAGCCCAGACCACATCCAGTCCCCCAATCCTCCTCTGGAATAGCTCCTCAGAGCAGGTCAGTAATCAGTTTGGAAACCACTGACCTTGGTCTCTGCCAGATCTCACGTACAATCTTCCTAGAGTTTACCCTTGGCCCCGAGGACACAGGCTATAGATATTCCAGACTTAAACTCTGGACCAAAAGTCATTGCAAGGTCTTATAACTCATTCCATTTGTTCAGGTTAGAGCTGTAAACATAAGTATTTTTCCAAAGGTCAAGTTTGAGATACTCCTGACTCTCCACAGAGCCAGAGGAGTTCAGGTCTGGGAGGACATCTGCAGCTCTAAGCAGTTTTCTCTAATTGGAAGCAGGAGAGAGAGAGCTCATTCTCAGGCCGAGAGAAACCCGATTATAGAGATCCAGCTATATACACACACCATCTTACTGAAAAATAATCCCAAGACCCAAAGCTCTTCGTTGGAACAAACCAAACAGCCATGCTCCATTCACAAGGCTTTGCTTAGAGAAGCTTCAGAGACGGAAAGAAGCCAGTGAGTACAGTGAAGTGACCGGGAGCACAGAGATGCCAGGAGGAGGGACGCCTCAGAGTCCGAGGTAGGGAACAAAGACTCTGGAAGCAATGCGTCTCAGACCGAATCCGGGCTGCCCACCACTTACTGTCTGAATAATCTCAGCAATGCCTCAGTCTCCCAGCGCTTCAGTTTCCCCTTTGGAGAATGTACACAACACTAGTACATACCACACTGGCGTGTTGGGAAGCTCAAGTCAGACACTGTTGATGGTGTGTTCAAAGCACCCAGTTCAGAGCCCAGCAGAGAAACGTCTCAGGGAGACCTCTCTGTTGGCTGCAACCCCAGCAGTGAGGATTTCCAGGAAGTGCTTCTCTGTGGAATGTGCTTTGAATCACCTGGCTCTTGTTAAAATGCAGGCTTTGACGCAGTTCACCTGAGGCACGGCTAATAGTTCTGAGTTCCCAGGTGATGCTCATGCTGCCAATTTTCAGCCCACGGGCAGCACACTGAGTAGCAGGGATCCAACCCTCCAGTGAAGGGTTTTGTTTTTAACACAAAAGCTGGTGTCTGATTTGATCCTTAGCATTAGAGGAAGCCTCAATGGGAATTTAAGAGTTAGAGACTGTGAGCAAAGCAACAAGTAGAAATGATGGTGACAAAGCAGAAGGGAACAGTTAGTGAGTCCCAGGCAGGAGCCTGCTAGTAAAATAGTCCAAATGCAGGAACACAGCCCACACAAGCACCTCCGCCACCGAAGGTACTAAACGTTAGTAACTAAAGGGAAGGGCACAGGTGGACAGGCCCAGCCGAAACCGCAGCTGGAGCAAGCGAGCAACTGACAACACAGAAAGCACTAAGCCATCTCCCACTCGTTGAATATGAGGATTTTGCATAAATTCCTGGGTGATGAATAACAAATTAGTTAGGATTCATGAACCTTAAAAAACACAGGCAAACAAACCTCATTTCTTAAAAAGGGCTTTTGCTCGGAGACTCTGACTGTGATCGGGAACATTTGTCCTTGTGTTCTTGGCTAAAATGTAGGTGGCCAATTAAAATGTGCGTGTGCATGTGCGTGTGTGTGTGTGTGTGTGTGTGTGTGTGTAAACTGAAAGTATCCCATTAAGATGGGTGGCTTTGGAAGTGCTAAAGCATTATTTTTATTAACCCAACCTGGTAAATTGTCATTGATAGCTGCATCTGCAATAATATTCTTTCAACCTACATACTCATTCTCATCCACTCTCACTTGCCCAGGGCCTTTTTTCAAGGCAGACAACATCATCATGTGCTTGGGATTGTGGGAGAATGGAGATATCAA